AACACTAAATGAGGAGGAAGGCACATAACTTCAGAAGGCACTAACCATGTGACGACTGGGAGTATGCCATTCCAGGGAAGGGGAACAGCAAGCACAAAGGCCTAGAGGAGGGGATGGGCGGCAAGAAACAAGGAGAGCAGTGTACCTAGAGCAAAATGTGAACGAAGGTAAGTAGAGGAAAGGTAGACAGAAACTAGATTCTGTAAGGTCTTAAAATTCTTTTATTTGGCCGGGCGCCATGGCTCACGCCTGTAATCCCAGCACTTTGGGAGGCTGAGGCGGGTGGATCACAAGGTCAAGAGATCGAGACCATCCTGGTCAACATGGTGAAACCCCGTCTCTACTAAAAATACAAAAAATTAGCTGGGCGTGGTGGCACGTGCCTGTAATCCCAGCTACTCAGGAGGCTGAGGCAGGAGAATTGCCTGAAGCCAGGAGGCGGAGGTTGCAGTGAGCTGAGACCGCGCCATTGCACTCCAGCCTGAGTAACAAGAGCGAAACTCCGTCTCAAAAAAAAAAAAATCTTTTATTTACTTACTTATTTTTTTTAGAGATGGGGCCTCCCTGTGTCGCCTGGGGTAAGGTACAGTGGCTATTCACAGGAGCAGTGATAGCACACTGCAGCCTGGAATCTGGGGCTCAAACAGTCCTCACCCTCAGCTTCACAGTAGCTGAGACTACAGATTCATGCAACGTGCCTGGCAAGGCCTTTTATTCTAAATGCAGTGGCCAGATGGACAAGAGATGTACCAACCACATCTTCCTTTAAGGCAGGACTTGATGCCCAGATGTGAAGCATGTAGTCAGCAAACAGCTCTTTCAGGATCTGCCTCAGACGCAGAGAGCCTCGCTGCTTAAGGACATACCCTTCTTGGAGCAGACCACATCTAGAGACTAAGGGAGCAGGGTTATAAAGCCCCAGTCATTTTAATCGAACAATTCTAATGGACAGTTCTTGTTTCAGAGCTCCCTGCTGGGTGGGCCAAAGCTATTTTGGATCTGCATCACTTATTTCTTCCTCCATCTAATTCAGATTTCTGTTTCTTCTTTCACAGATGTTACACCTTAATAACATCTTGAATCCAAAATTCAATCTCTGCATCTGTGAAAACTCAACCTGTGACAAATGGGAAGCCATTGAAGGATTTTTGAGCAAAGAATTCAAGTGGTCCGATTTAGGTTTTAGATCACTCTAGCTACTGTATAGAGGATGGACTGTGGGAAGTAAAAGTGAAAACAAGACCAGTAGCAGTGGCCCAGGGGAGAGATGGTGGTGATTTGATCTAGGGAGGAGAAAGGGGAAAGTGGATGGATTTGGGATATAATTTGGTTGTAGAAGTGATAACTGGTTTGCTGGGCGCAGTGGCTCATGCCTGTAATCCCAGCACTTTGGGAAGCCAAAGTGGGTGGATCGCAAGGTCACGAGCTCAAGACCAGTCTGGCCAACATGGTAAAACGCCATATCTACTAAAAATACAAAAATTAGCCGGGCATGGTGGCTCGAGCCTGTATTCCCAGCTACTCAGGAGGCTGAGGCGGGAGAATCACTTGAGGTTGCAGTGAGCTGAGATCGCACCACTGCACTCAGCCTGGTAACAGAGCAAGACTCCATCTCAAAAAAAAAGAAAAAGAAAGAAATGACAACTTGTTCATCTCAAGCATTTTGATCAATTACCTTGCAGAAAACAAATTTAGTGTGTTGAAGGAAACCAAAATATTTCTCTCTAAAATACTAGGGATTTTAGTTAAAATTAAAAAGTTAAAACACATGGGCACACTGCCCTTCCTAACTCTGTCTTCATCAACTCAGAAACAGCTCAGAGATAGCGGTGCTAGAGGATCCAGGAGCAGACTTTACTCTTCCCATTAATTTACCTTCCCACATTTTCCTGCCTTTTGGAAGCCTAACATACTCTTCTTTGTTTCATCACTATGTAAGATTCGTGGCTCTGGCTGAGTGCAGTGGCTCACGCCTGTAATCCCAGCACTTTGGGAGGCCGAGGCAGGTGGATTGCTTGAGGCCAGGAGTTCGAAACCAGCCTGGCCAACATGGCATCACCCTATCTCTACTAAAAATACAAAAATTAGCTGGGCATGGTGACACAGGCCTATAATCCCAACTACTCGGGAGGCTGAGGCATGAGAATCTCCTGAACCCAGGTGGTGGAAGTTGCATGAGCCGAGAGCATGCCACTGCACTCAAGCCTGGGTGACAGAACAAGACTCTGTCTCAAAAAAAAAAAAAAAAAAAAAATTCATGGCTCTTTGTTTAAAATAATATTTAAACAAGGTCCCTAAGCCACTGCCTGGAGAGAGAAATACTTTTGAACTGAGACCTCTCCCATTTGGGTACAGCATGTTAATAAACTTGTTTTTCTTTTGTTAATCTGACTGTTGTTTTCAAGTGTCTCAACTAAGAACCTAAAAAGGGTAAAAAAAGAAATGATGTTTGATGTATTCTCCCCAACAGTGTGTTTTCATTTCTTTCATCTACTGTCCAGTAATCATTTCAAAAAAGAAAAGAGCATTAGTTACTGCCTGTATGATGTGGCCCCTGCTTACCTGCTCTCTCCCTCCTGTTTCCTGTTCCAGCCACCTCAGCTTTTTCACTGTTCCTCCAGCGTGGCAAGTTTATTCCTGCCACATGACTCTTTCACATGGTGTTTTCAGATTTTCTCTGTGGCACTCCACACACATTGCTCATCTAAATTCTATTCATCCCTCAGGTAGCAGTTTAAACACTGTGTCCTCACAGGACTTCTTAGCACTGCCTCCTCTCCCAGTGAAGCTAGTTCCTGTAATTATGGGCTCACAGAAATCCCTCGGTTTCTTTCCTTCCTTCCTCTCTCCCCTCCCTCGCTCCTTCCCTCCTTCCTTCCTTCCTTTTTTTTGAGATGGAGTTTCGGAGTTTTGCTTTTGTTGCCCAGGCTGGAGTGCAATGGCACGATCTTGGCTCACTGCAAGCCCCGCCTCCCAGGTTCAAGTGATTTTCCTGCCTCAGCCTCCAGAGTAGCTGGGATTACAGGCATGTGTCACCACGCCTGAATAATTTTGTATTTTTAGTAGAGACAGCATTTCTCCGTGTTGGTCAGGTTGGTCTCAAACTCCCAACCTCAGGTGGCCCACCCGCCTCAGGCTCCAAAAGTGCTGGGATCACAGGCATGGGCCACCACACCTGGCCAAAAAGTTATGTTTATAGGACACTAGCTCAGTACTTTATAGTTCATCCTGTGGAATGTTATGCAATATCTGAAAACAATGTGATAGATTTATAACAATACGCATAATACAATACTTCTTGGATAAAAATATAATTTTATACAAATTTGTGTTTTTGTACAAATGGTATCTTTGTATTTTTATACAATTGGTATTGTATCATGATAGAGTATGAATGTAGATCTTCTGGACGGATGAACAAGACACTGTCAATGGTGGTTGCTTCTAAACTCTGGAGTAAGGGATTGGCTGATAGAAGAAAGAATTTACAGCCGGGCGCGGTGGCTCACGCCTGTAATCCCAGCACTTTGGGAGGCTGAGGCGGGTGGATCACGAGGTCAAGAGATCGAGACCATCCTGGTCAACAAGGTGAAACCCCGTCTCTACTGAAAAATACAAAAAGTTAGCTGGGCATGGTGGCGCGTGCCTGTAATCCCAGCTACTCAGGAGGCTGAGGCAGGAGAATTGCCTGAACCCAGGAGGCGGAGGTTGCGGTGAGCTGAGATGGCGCCATTGCTCTCCAGCCTGGGTAACAAGAGCGAAACTCCGTCTCAAAAAAAAAAAAAAAAAAAAAAGAAAAGAAAAAAGAACTTACTTTTCTATTTATACTTTCCTGGATTGATTGATTGATTTGTTTACTATGTGAATATACTGTGTTTAACTTTTTAAACACTTCTGGGATCCCTTTGAAGTTAAAAAAAAAATTAATACTAACATTAAAACAAAAGTTATGTTTGTGCACAATTGATTTTCTGAAATAAATAGAGCTCTTAATTATATGTCTACACATGGAGCATGAGTTTATTTGTTATGAAATTCATATCCAGCTCTCTGGTCTTGGCCACAGAAGCGAGATGACGAAGGCAACGTCATCGTTTGGAAAGCATCGCAGTAAGACACACACGTTGAGCCGCCGCTGTAGCTCTAAGGCCTACCACCTTCAAAAGTCGACCTGTGGCAAATGTGGCTACCTGCAAGCACAAGAGAAAGTATAACTGGAGTGCCAAGGCTAAAAGACGAAACACCACCAGGACTGGTCGAATGAAGCACCTAAAAATTGTATATCGCAGATTCAGGCATGGATTCTGTGAAGGAACGACACCTAAATCCAAGAGGGCAGCTGCTGCAGCTCCCAGTTCATCTTAAGAATTTCAACGATTAGTCATGCAATAAATGTTCTGGTTTTAAAAAATACAAATAAATAAAATAATTAATATCCAGAAGAAGTTTATTATATTTGAAAAGAATTTGAAAGTCAGATTTTTTTTTTTTTTTTGAGACGGAGTTTCGCTCTTGTTACCCAGGCTGGAGTGCAATGGCGCGATCTCGGCTCACTGCAACCTCCGCCTCCTGGGTTCAGGCAATTCTCCTGCCTCAGCCTCCTGAGTAGCTGGGATTACAGGCACGCGCCACCATGCCCAGCTAATTTTTTTGTATTTTTAGTAGAGACGGGGTTTCACCATGTTGACCAGGATGGTCTCGATCTCTTGACCTTGTGATCCACCCGCCTCGGCCTCCCAAAGTGCTGGGATTACAGGCTTGAGCCACTGCGCCCGGCCCTGAAAGTCAGATTTTTATTTCATTCTATACAAATTCCCAAGATGGAATAATTTTGGGGAATAACCAAATATAAATTAAACATTACGCCAAGCACGGTGGCTTATGCCTGGAATCCCAGCACTTTGGTGGGCTGAGGCGTGCTGATCACCTGAAGTCAGGAGTTCGAGACCAGCCTGACCAACATGGAGAAACCCCGTCTCTACTAAAAATACAAAATTAGCTGGGCATTACCAAGGCTTTTAGAATGTTTTTTCTCGTTTGCTGTGGACACGACCATAAAAAAATTTCCCAGTAGTTTTTCTATCTGCTACTATGCTAGCGATCAGCCTATTGGGAATATTTGATTAACTGTAATAGAAATGCAATACAAATATAATGTGAGCCACATGTGAATTTTCTTTTTTTTTCTAATAGCTGTTTCATCAGTAATCAACGAGATTTTAAAATTGTCTTTTGGGCATTGTAGCCGAGATCTCTTGAATTGTGTAAATGTGCTTTGCCTTTGTCTTGCAACCCTCGTGCATTATAACCCTTGTGGGTTGCAGTTTGTGTGTAGCAGTTAACTCAGGCTGGTTCTAGGACTCATTCATGTTCACTCACTGTACAATCATCTCTGGAAATGTAAAATTTACTTTTATATTATTTTTCTTTTTCTTTTTTGAGACAGAGTTTCACTCTTGTTACTCAGGCTGGAGTAAAATGGCATGATCTCTGCTCACCGCAACCTCCGCCTCCTGGGTTCAGTCAATTCTCCTGCCTCAGCCTCCCGAGTAGCTGGGATTACAGGCACGCGCCACCATGCCCAGCTAATTTTTGTATTTAGTAGAGACGGGGTTTCACCATGTTGACCAGGATGGTCTCGATCTCTTGACCTCATGATCCACCCGCTTCAGCCTCCCAAAGTGCTGGGATTATAGGCGTGAGCCACTGCACCCGGTCTTACTTTTATATTATTGTTATGTAGGGCTGACAGGACAAGTAGATTAAAATAAGCATCAGTTTCATTAAAAAGGGCTAACCTGGCCGGGCGCGGTGGCTCACGCCTGTAATCCCAGCACTTTGGGAGGCCAAGGCGGGTGGATCATGAGGTCAAGAGATCGAGACCATCCTGGTCAACATGGTGAAACCCCGTCTCTACTAAAGGTGCAAAAAATTAGCTGGGCATGGTGGCGCGTGCCTGTAATTCCACCTACTCGGGAGGCTGAGGCAGGAGAATTGCCTGAACCCAGGAGGCGGAGGTTGCGGTGAGCCGAGATCGCGCCATTGCACTCCAGCCTGGGTAACAAGAGCGAAACTCCGTCTCAAAAAAAAAAAAAAAAAAAAAAAAAAAAAAAAAAAAAAAGGGCTAACCTGAAGATAAATCTTTTTACTCCAAGTCTTATTTTTTTTACTTTTTTTTTTTTAACCTTTCTGCAAGTCTGACACTCCAACTCTTTAGAGACTCTAAAGTGACTTTGATGGACAGTGGAAGAAATCACGACGTGGAATTCCTTGAATAAAAATTTATTGACTTAAAAAAAAAAAAAAGCCGGGTGTGGTGGCTCACACCTGTAATCCTAACACTTTGGGAGGCCTAGGTGGGTGGGTCGCCTGAAGTCAGGAGTTTAAGACCAGCCTGGTCATCATGGTGAAACCCCATCTTTTAAAATTAAAAAAAAAAAAAAAAAAAATTATTGACTTAAAAAAAAAATTGGCACAGCAGCTGCGCATCCCGGGGCTACAGACCTCCTCACGTTTGCAGCGTAGCCTCAGTCCATCAGTACCCGAGGACCATGTCGAAGCCCCATAGTGAAGCCAGGACTGCCTTCATTCAGACCCAGCAGCTACATACAGCCATGGCTGACGCATTCCTGGAGCACATGTGCCGCCTGAACATTGACTCACCACCCGTCACAGCCTGGAACACTGGCATCATCTGTATCATTGGTCTCACTTCCCAATCGGTGGAGACATTGAAGGAGAGATGATTAAGTCTGGAATGAATGTGGCTCATCTGAACTTCTCTCATGGAACTCATGAGTACCACATGGAGACCATCAAGAATGTGTGCGCAGCCACAGAAAGCTTTGCTTCTGACCCCATTCTCTACCGGCCCGTTGCTGTGGCTCTGGACACTAAAGGACCCGAGATCCAAACTGGCCTCATCAAGGGCGGCAGCACCGAAGAGGTAGAGCTGAAGAAGGGAGCCACTCTCAAAATCACACTGGATAACACCTACATGGAAAAGTGTGATGAGAACATCCTATGGCTGGACTACAAGAACATCTGCAAGGTGGTGGAAGTGGGCAGCAAGATCTACGTGGATAATGGGCTTATTTCTCTCCAGGTGAAGCAGAAAGGTGCTGACTTCCTGGTGACAGAGGTGGAAAATGGTGGCTCCTTGGGCAGCAAGAAGGGCATGAACCTTCCCGGGGCTGCTGTGGATTTGCCTGCTGTGTCAGAGAAGGACATCCAGGGCCTGAAGTTTGGGGTTGAGCAGGATGCCAATATGGTGTTTGCGTCATTCCTCTGCAAGGCAGCTGATGTCCGTGAAGTGAGGAAGGTCCTGGGAGAGAAGGGGAAGAACAGCAAGATAATAAGCAAAATCGAGACTCATGAGGGGGTTTGGAGGTTTGATGAAATCCTGGAGGCCAATGATGGGATCATGGTGGCTCGTGGTGATCTAGGCATTGAAATTCCTGCAGAGAAGGTCTTCCTTGCTCAGAAGATGATGATTGGGCTGTGCACCCGAGCTGGGAAGCCTGTCATCTGTGCCACTCAGATGCTGGAGAGCATGATCAAGAAGCCCCTCCCCAACCGGGCTGAGGGCAGTGATGTGGCCAGCGCAGTCCTGGATGGAGTTGACTTTATCATGCTGTCTGGAGAGACAGCCAAAGGGGACTATCCTCTGGAGGCCATGCGCATGCAGCACCTGATTACCTGTGAGGCAGAGGCCGCCATCTACCACTTGCAATTATTATTATTATTTTTTTTAAGACGGAGTTTCGCTCTTGTTACCCAGGCTGGAGAGCAATGGCGCCATCTCGGCTCACCGCAACCTCCGCCTCCTGGGTTCAGGCAATTCTCCTGCCTCAACCTCCTGAGTAGCTGGGATTACAGGCACACGCCACCATGCCCAGCTAATGTTTTGTATTTTTAGTATTTTAGACGGGGTTTCACCATGTTGACCAGGATGGTCTCGATCTCTTGACCTCGTGATCCGCCTGCCTCGGCCTCCCAAAGTGCTGGGATTACAGGCTTGAGCCACCGCGCCCGGCTACCACTTGCAATTATTTGAGGAACTCCGCCCTCTGGCGCCCATTGCCAGTGACCCCACAGAAGCCACCGCCGTGGGTGCCATGGAGGCCTCCTTCAAGTGCTGCAGTGGGGCCATAATCGTCCTCACCAAGTCTGGTAGGTATGCTCACCAGCTGGCCAGTACCACCCACATGCCCCCATCATTGCTGTGACATGGAATCCCCAGACAACCCGTCAGGCCCACCTGTACCGCGGCATCTTCCCTGGGCTGTGTAAGGACCCGGTCCAGGAGGCCTGGGCGGAGGACGTGGACCTCCGGGTGAACTTGGCCATGAAGGTTGCCAAGGCCCGAGGCTTCTTCAAGAAGGGAGATGTGGTCATTGTGCTGACCGGGTGGTGCGCTGGCTCTGGCTTCACCAACACCATGCGTGCTGTTCCTGTGCCGTGATGGACCCCAGAGCCCCTCCTCCAGTCCCTATCCCACCCTCTTCCCCCAACCCATTCATTAGGCCAGCAATGCTTGTAGAGCTCACTGTGGGCTGTAATGTGGCACTAGTGGGCTGGGACACCAGAGAAGAAGATAAGCGCCTGGCTGAAACATGGCTGTGTTTACAGACTGCTCTGGTGGGACCGCCCAGAGCCTGGCTGCCCATCATGTGGCCCCACCCAATCAAGGGAAGAAGGAGGAATGCCGGACTGGAGTCCCCAGGAGCCAGATGGCAAGAGGGTGACAGCTTCCTTTCCTGTGTGTACTCTGTTCAGTTCCTTCAGAAAATGGATGCCCAGAGGACTCCCAACGCTGGTCTGGGGGCAGGAAACAGCCGGCGAGAGTTAGGGGCCTTAGCGCACAGGGCAGTTGTTCCATTTAAGCCGACTCCGGCCCTGGCCCTTACTTGCCTCCCCAACCCCCTGCCTCCCCAGTTCCCACCTGTCCCCGCCCTCCACTCAGCTGTCCTGCAGCAAACACTCCCCCTTCCATTTTCCCCCACTACTGCAGCACCTCAGGGCCTGTTGCTATAGAGCCTGCCTGTATGTCAATAAACAACAGCTGAAGCACCAAAAGAAAACAAAAAAAAAAAACTAGGCGGGCATGTGGTGGGCACCTGTAGTCCCAGCTACTCCGGAGGCTGAGGCAGGAGAATCACTTGAACCCAGGAAGCCGAGGTTGCAGTAAGCCAAGATCACACCACTGCACTCCAGTTCTTGGCAACAGAGCAAGACTCCATCTCAAAAATAAATAAATAAACATTACCTGTTCACAGTTTTATTTTTTCCTTTGTCTTTCTTTTTTGCAGTGAAGTCTTGCTATGTCGCTCAGGCTGGCTCAAACTCCTGGGCTCAAGCAATCCTCTTACCTCAGCTGGGATTGCAGGTGAGCACCACTCCGCCTGGCCCAAATAATTTAAAAAGAAAATTATACAAAATGCCATCACAATTTTATAGCAAAATATGACCTTTGATTTAGAATATGATTATATTTTAATTGTATGTATGATACAAATTATATCCAAAGATAACAATACCTAGAACACAAGAGACTCTTAAGATGGGCCTGAGCAGCATAACTCCAAACTATATAAAAAATAAATTTGTGGCCGGGCGCGGTGGCTCACGCCTGTAATCCCAGCACTTTGGGAGGCCGAGGCGGGTGGATCACGAGGTCAAGAGATCGAGACCATCCTGGTCAACATGGTGAAACCCCGTCTCTACTAAAAATACAAAAAATTAGCTGGGCATGGTGGTGTGTGCCTGTAATCCCAGCTACTCAGGAGGCTGAGGCAGGAGAAATTGCCTGAACCCAGGAGGCGGAGGTTGCGGTGAGCCGAGATCGCGCCATTGCACTCCAGCCTGGGTAACAAGAGCGAAACTCCGTCTCAAAAAAATATATAATAAATAAATTAAAAATAAATTTGTGGCGACCGGGCACAGTGGCTCAAGCCTGTAATCCCAGTGCTTAGAGAGGCCGAGGCAGACAGATCACGAGGTTAGGAGACCAAGATCATCCTGGCTAACACAGTGAAACCCTGTCTCTACTAAAAATATGAAAAATTAGCCAGGTGTGGTGGCGGGGGCCTGTAGTCCCAGCTACTCAGGAGGCTGAGGCAGGAGAGTCGCTTGAAGCTCGGAGGCGGAGGTTGCAGTGAGCCAAGACCACACCATTGCACTCTAGACTAGGTGACAGAGTGAGACAGACTCAGTCTTTTTTTTTTGAAGCGGAGTTTTGCTCTTGTTACCCAGGCTGGAGTGCAATGGCGTGGTCTGGACTCACCACAATCTCCGCCTCCTGGGTTCAGGCAATTCTCCTGCCTCAGCCTCCTGAGTAGCTGGGATTACAGGCACGCGCCACCATGCCCAGCTAATTTTTTGTATTTTTAGTAGAGACGGGGTTTCACCATGTTGACCAGGATGGTCTCGATCTCTTGACCTCATGATCCACCCGCCTCGGCCTCCCAAAGTGCTGGGATTACAGGCTTGAGCCACCGCGCCCGGCGGAATTTCTTGCTAGGTAGAAAGGGAAGGTAGAAGCAAGCCGGTGGAGATGTATTTTTACAAAGCATTGGATCTTTCTACACTTCTCAGGTCACACCATGTAAAGAGTAGCCTCTTTTAATACCTAGAATCCTCCTTATTTAGGTCAAATCAAGGTTTCTGGGTACTCTATAGTGGTCAGGCTGGGTAAAGGATTAAGGAGGGAAGGAGAGGGACTTTTCACATCTTATCTGTTGTATTTTTAAATTTTGTATTAAGAACATGTGTCATTTGTTGATAAAGTAAGTTGTTATTTTAAAGAATTAAGGCTGAGTAGTGAAATTTAAGATTTAATTCTTTGCTCAGCATAGCCTCCAGTATTTATTTCATACCCAACATGTTCATTTGCTTTGTGATTTTGTACTGTGGAGTTTTAGTTTAGGAAACTCGCCCTGCCAGTGACACCCCCCACTGAAGTTATCTAATCTAATCTAAACAGATCAATTTATGTGTGACATCTCGTTTTCTTCCCTAAGCTCTGTTTCCCACCAGCAAACAAAACATCTTGTTAAAACAGAGACTGTCCACTTCAAGCTTCAGATCAGAATTTACAGTCAGATTCCAGGCCTGCTATTTACTAGCTACGTGACCTTCTGCAGGGCATGTTACCGCTCTGGGATTGGGTTTCCTCATGTGGGGCTGTAGAATCTGCACTCAATTTACTTGATAGAGGTCAAAGGATGTACTTCAGCTTCTGGCTCTGCCACTTTGTTGCTGTGTGACTTGGACACTCTGCCTGGCCTGTAAGCTTCCGTTTCTATAAAATGGGAACAATACTTCCTTCCAGGGAGGTTTTGAAAGTGGAATGAGGGATCTAAGATTCCTGGGGTCTAGGCCACATGAGTGCTTAAACCATGTTGGTGTCTTCTCCTTTCTCTTCACCTGCTTCTTTCTGGGTTGTTTTTGTTTGCTTTTGCTTTATAAAATAAGAATGGTGACCTACCTATTATGCAGATCTCCTGCCTCTCACACTGCTTTATACACTGTGAGGCAGAAAGCAGAATGTATGGTTGTTTTGGCACCAGGAGGACAAAGGGCCTCAGGCTCTGAATTTCTCTGACCTCTCTAAATTGTGTTTGAATTCCAGAGAAGAGCTCTGTTTTTCTAGGTAGAAATTAGGCAAGCTTTTCCTGGAGCTCACCCCAGGCAGCACGGTGAGGCTGAGGACTGAGGGCTTCCCTTCCACAAGACCTCCCGGTTCACAAAGCCACCTGGGGAGCCATGGGTAGGTATTGTTCTTCAGAGACACCTGGAGGCTGGCTCACTCCCTCAGGAGGAGGGAAGCTGCTGAGGCCTTTGAAACACTGTATTGAAAACTCACGCCTACACAGAAGCCAAAACTGACCAGGATGATAAGCTAATAGTAATAATGAACTACTCCTGTTCTTTTTGTGCTCTAAGACAGGTCAGAATGCCCTTAGCCCAGTACTTTGATTTTTTTTTTTTTTTGAGACGGAGTTTCGCTCTTGTTACCCAGGCTGGAGTGCAATGGCGCTATCTCGGCTCACCGCAACCTTCGCCTCCTGAGTTCAGGCAATTCTCCTGCCTCAGCCTCCTGGGTAGCTGGGATTACAGGCACGCGCCACCATGCCCAGCTAATTTTTTGTATTTTTAGTAGAGACGGGGTTTCACCATGTTGACCGGGATGGTCTCGATCTCTTGACCTTGTGATCCACCCGCCTCGGCCTCCCAAAGTGCTGGGATTACAGGCTTGAGCCACCACGCCCGGCCGATTTTTTTTTTTTTTCTTTTTTTTTTGAGACGAAGTCTATCTCTGTCACCCACCACACCTGTAATCCCAGCACTTTGGGAGGCCAAGGTGGACTTGAGGTCAGAAGGTCGAGACTAGACTGACCAATATGACCTAAACCCGTCTCTCCTAAAAATACAAAAATTAGCCGGGCATAGTAGTGTGTGCCTGTAGTCCCAGCTGTTCCGGAGGCTGAGGCAGGAGAATCGCTTGAACCTGGGAGGTGGAGGCTGCAGTGATCTGAGATCACCCCATGGCACTCCGGCCTGGACGACAAAGAGAGACTCATTCTCAAAAAATGAAAAAAGAAACTGTGAAAAGGGTAAGGAGAAAGTGGGATTCAGTAACCTACAAACTATTTTAGGCAGGACACTTTTCAAAATGCTGTTGGCAGCACTGGAAGTTGAACTGAGTGTGGTTTCCAGCTCAGGGCATCTGGCCACCTTGGTAAATACTGCTGATCGACTCTCTCCGGCTCAGAGACACCGAAACACAGGAGACATGACAAATTACTAGCATCTTTTGCTTTTTAATTTTTATTCCTTTTTAAATTTAATTTGATTTTTTGTGGAGAACAAGGTCTTGCTGTATTGCCCAGCCTAATCTGGAACTCCTGGGCTCCAGCTGTTCTCCTGCCTCTGCCTACCTGAGTGCTGGGGTTACAGGTGTGGGCCACTGCCCTCGACCTTGTTTTTATTCTGTATGCTTATGACAATGGCTGGAAATAGGAGTTTCTCTTACACACAGTAGCAGGGCCACATTTTCTCTCCTCTTTCCTTTCTAAAGGACAGTGTCAATGACATGTCCAGGACAGGTCAGAGAATGTTACATCAGAGATACTGCTGCTATATTTACCCCCTACTTGCTTTTCAAGCAAAGCAATTTACGTGATAAAAAGCAGCAGAGACAAACTATCCTGGGTATCTTCAGAGAAGAAAAACATTGAATTTTAAAGCTCTACATTTTACTTTGCAGTCAATTTTTCGGTGGGGGTGCTAAACGTCCTTTTTCTCTTTGTTTTTACCTTTTTAAATTCTCTGAGAGAGTTAAAGAGATGTATCGGCCGAGCAGCAGTGGCTCAAGCCTTTAATCCCAGCACTGTAGGAGGCTGAGGCGGGTGGGTCACCCGAGGTCAGGCGTTTGAGACCGGCCTGGCCAACATGGTGAAACCCCATCTCCACCAAAAATACAAAAATTAGCCGGGCATGGTGGCTTATGCCTGTAATCCTATCTACTTGGGAGGCTGAGGCAGGAGGATTGCTTGAATCAGGGAGGCAGATGTTTCAGTGAGCCAAGATCTTGCCACTGGACTCCAGCCTGGGTGACACAGCAAGACTCCATCTCAAAAAAAAAAAAAAAGAGAAATGCATTACGTCAGCCTAGGCCCAGACCTGCAGTTGCCACTGTGGCCTTCACGAGGAATGAAAGACTCAACAGGCAGGAGAATGACTGACAAGGAAAGTCGTCACTGGATTTACTTTGGTCTGCGAGTTTCAATGTAGGTCTCCGTAGCACCCCATTTCCTAGCCCCTCTGCACCAATTATTTTTATTCCCCAGGCCTCAGTTTTCTGCTTGTGGGTAAAATAGGAATGAGCAGTTCTATTTCACCTGGAGGGCTATTGTTAAAGAGAATAAATGTGATGAATGTAAATAAGGCTATGGTGGTGGGATAATTGAGCTCTAATTAAATTCACTAGTTACTTTTATCTATTTATTTATTTTGAGATGGAGTCTCACTCTGCCACCCCAGGCTGGAGTGCAGTGGCGCAATCTCGGCTCACCACAACCTCTGCCTCTGAGGTTCAAGTGATTCTCCTGCCTTAGTCTCCTGAGTAGCTGGGTTTATAGGCGCCTGCCACCATGCCCTGCTAATTGTTCTATTTTTAGTAGAGACGAGGTTTCACCATGTTGGCCAGGCTGCTCTTGAACTCCTGACTTCAGGTGATCCACCTGCCTCAGGCTCCCAAAGTGCTGGGATTACAGGTGTGACCCACCAGCCCAGCCTCAGTAGCTACTTAAGTACATGCTAAATGCTGGCAGAGGGTACTATCCACAGTAAGACATTGCACCTGCCCTTAAGGGTTTTACAATCTGATAATTGGGAAGAGACAAATTTATAAAGAATTGTAACCCCTAGGCCAGAGATGGTGGCTCACACCTGTAATCCCAGCACTTTGGGAGGCCGAGGCGGGTGGATCACGAGGTCGAGAGATCGAGACCATCCTGGTCAACATGGTGAAACCCCGTCTCTACTAAAAATACAAAAAATTAGCTGGGCATGGTGGCACGTGCCTGTAATCCCAGCTACTCAGGAGGCTGAGGCAGGAGAATTGCCTGAACCCAGGAGGCGGAGGTTGCGGTGAACCGAGATCACACCATTGCACTCCAGCCTGGGTAACAAGAGCGAAACTCCGTCTCAAAACAAACAAACAAACAAAAAAAACTGTAATCCCAGCCAGGAAATGAGAAGAATCCCAAATTTTAGATAGAGAATGCTGAGAGAATTAGGAGGGTGTTAAGGGCAGCTTTAAAGGAGAGAGTTGTATTTGAGATGGGAGGGGACAGGGACAAGAGGACATTCCAGATAGAAAAAAGAAAGGTGTAGGAGAGCAAAGGTTCGAGCTCTTTCCTTTCCGTCTGGCGGTAGCCATCAGGTAAGCCAAGATGGGTGCATACAAGTACATCCAGGAGCTATGGAGAAAGAAGCAGTCTGATGTCATGCGCTTTCTTCTGAGGGTCCGCTGCTGGCAGCACCGCCAGCTCTCTGCTCTCCACGGGGCTCCCCGCCCCACCCGGCCTGATAAAGCGCGCCGACTGGGCTACAGGGCCAAGCAAGGTTACGTTATATATAGGATTCGTGTTCGCCGTGGTGGCCGAAAACGCCCAGTTCCTAAAGGTGAAACTTACGGCAAGCCTGCCCATCATGGTGTTAACCAGCTGAAGTTTGCTCGAAGCCTTCAGTCTGTTGCAGAGGAGCGAGCTGGATGCCACTGTGGGGCTCTAAGAGTCCTGAATTCTTACTGGGTTGGTGAAGATTCCACATACAAATTTTTTGAGGTTATTCTCATTGATCCATTCCATAAAGCTATCAGAAGAAATCCTGACACCCAGAGGATCACCAAACCAGTCCACAAGCACAGGGAGATGCGTGGGCTGACATCTGCAGGCCGAAAGAGCCGCGGCCTTGGAAAGGGCCGTAAGTTCCACCACACTATTGGTGGTTCTCGCCGGGCAGCTTGGAGAAGGCGCAATACTCTCCAGCTTCACCATTACCGCTAATATAAGTAAAGTTTGTCAAATTCATACCTAATAAACAATTTAGGACAGTCAAAAAAAAAAAAAAATAAGAAGAGCAAAGGTTCAGCATGTGCTAAGGGAACAAGGACTGCAGCAATCTGACACTTGACAGGGAACAACGGGTGACAAGTCGGGCTCCCATCTGGAGAGGTTAAGAAGTCTGTACTTAATGTCACAGATAATGGAGTGGCTGATACTCTTGTTGAGAAATGACAATGATTAAAGTAGTGCTTTAGGGCAATTCACACGGCAGCTGCCCTGGTGGTGGGGACAGACTGGAGGGATAAAAGGTCTCGGTGCCTCGGTGAGGTATAGTGATAGCAGAACATAAATAAAGTCCTCCTTGACCAGTTAGTCACCCCCAATGACCCTCTGCATCAAATGCTGCTCAAGGCAGAACTTCCCACCTAGCACTTACATAGTCACTATTTATACTTAACCAATTATGTGTTTAGCTGGTTTTCTTTCTTTTCCAAGCCTGACTTGTGACTCCCCTAATATTAGAGGGTTAGCTTCCTGAGAACTGGGCCTTTATTAGCTCTTTTCCCTCTTCCTCCCTTTGTTACAGAGGCTCAGATTCCCTCAACCCTGTGTCCAGCCTCTTAGTGGACCTCACTCAGGGGGAACAAACTGACACTCAACTTCTGGGTGGGCCCAGCCTACATTTTCCTTCCACTTTGGTTTCAGGTATTTTTGACAACATCTAAAACACCCAGCTAATTCAGAGGGTGAAAAAAAGGGAGTAATTGGCAGGCAGGTGGGGATGAAGAGATGTGGTTGTGTCATAGTGAAAAACAGATCTGAGTTACGGTCCTTTAAAAAAAATTTATACCTCCAGGGGCGGTGGCTCATGCCTGTAATCTTAGCACATAGGGAGGGGGCGGCGGGCGGATCACCTGAGGTCAGGAGTTAGAAACCAGCCTGGCCAACATGGCGAAACCCCATCTCCACTAAAAATACAAAAATTAGACGGGAGTGGTGGCGTGCGCCTGTAGTCCCAGCTACTCAGGAGGCTGAGGCAGGAGTATCGCTTGAACTCAGGAAGCGGAGGTTGCAGTGAGCCAGGATCCAGCCACTGTACTGCAGTCTGGGTGACAAAGTGAGACTCTGTCTCAAAAAAAGAAAAACGTCCATTATTTATTTATTTATTTATTTATTTATTTTTTGAGACGGAGTTTCACTCTTGTTACCCAGGCTGGAATGCAATGGCGCGATCTCGGCTCACTGCAACCTCCGCCTCCTGGGTTCAGGCAATTCTCCTGCCTCAACCTCCTGAGTAGCTGGGATTACAGGCATGCCCCACCATGCCCAGCTAATTTTTTGTATTTTTTTTAGTAGAGACGGGTTTCACCATGTTGACCAGGATGGTCTCTATCTCTTGACCTCGTGATCCACCCGCCTCGGCCTCCCAAAGTGCTGGGATTACAGGCTTGAGCCACCGCGCCCAGCCTAAAAGTCCATTATTTTAACCACTGTAGACTACTGATTCTACATCAGGGACCTAGATATCAAGGCCAATATATCTTCAGTTCTGTAATCCACACCCTTCTCTTGAAACACAAAAGCACTGTTGCCTGAGTGGTTGTTGAAGGGGTTTATTTCTTTGGTTTAAGACTGTTCCCAGAGATTACATTGCAGATCCCTAATCTTTTCACTACTAAGTGGCTCTTAGGAGTGGATCTCAAAGCTTCAAAAGATTTTAGCCTGCCAGATAAATATCATTAATTAATTAGTTAATTTTCCCTTAAGACAACCAGGCCTATCACACTGCCTTAATGGTTTCTGGACCAAAAAAAAAAAAAAAAAAAAAGCATAGGAATTTGGGTAGCATAAATAAAATTGATGGTTTCTATTAGGCTTCTTTGAAATGGAGAAAACAGCTCTTACACCTTCATTAACACCCCATTGAGCCTCCAGGATAGTGGCTGGTGGGGGTGGGGCGGGGGTAGGTTAAGGACTCACATTAGAAATCCCTGTTCTGGCCGGGCGCGGTGGCTCAAGCCTGTAATCCCAGCACTTTGGGAGGCCGAGGTGGGTGGATCACGAGGTCAAGAGATCGAGACCATCCTGGTCAACATAGTGAAACCCCGTCTCTACTAAAAATACAAAAAATTAGCTGGGCATGGTGGCACGTGCCTGTAATCCCAGCTACTCAGGAAGCTGAGGCAGGAGAATTGCCTGAACCCAGGAGGCAGAGGTTGCGGTGAGCTGAGATGGCGCCATTGCACTCCAGCCTGGGTAACAAGAGGGAAACTCCGCCTCAAAAAAAAAAAAAAAAAAAGAAATCCCTGTTCTGACCTTTTCTGTTAGAATGCTTGACTACCTGGTAGTCAAGCATTTGCCTATTAATACCAGGATTTTTTTAAACATATCTTATCTCATATATGACAATCTAGGAAATATTAATAGCTATGCGCTAGAAAATGTTAAAAAAAAAAAAAAAACACTTCCGCCAGGCGCGGTAGCTCACGCCTGTAATCCCAGCACTTTGGGAGGCTGAGGCAGATGGATCACCTGAAGTCAGGAGTTCAAGACCAGCCTGGCCAACATGGTGAAACACCATCTCTACTAAAAATACAAGAATTAGCTGGGCACGATGGCAGGTGCCTGTACTTCCAGCTACTCAGGAGACTGACAGAGAATCTCTAGAACCTGGGAGGTGGTGGCTGCAGTTAGCTGAGATTGTGCCACTGCACTCCAGCCTGGGCAACTGAGTGAGACTCTGTCTCAAAAAACAAACAAAACAACTAAAAATGCACTTCCAGCATTACTAGGCATTGAATAAAGGTTACTTACTAAAAGTCTTTTTTTTTTTTTTTTTTTTTTTGAGACGGAGTTTCGCTCTTGTTAACCCAGGCTGGAGTGCAATGGCACGATCTCGGCTCACCACAACCTCCGCCTCCTGGGTTCAGGCAATTCTCCTGCCTCAGCCTCCTGAGTAGCTGGGATTACAGGCACACGCCACCATGCCCAGCTAATTTTTTGTATTTTTAGTAGAGACGGGGTTTCACCATGTTGACCAGGATGGTCTCGATCTCTTGACCTCGTGATCCACCCGCCTCGGCCTCCCAAAGTGCTGGGATTACAGGCTTGAGCCACCGCGCCCGGCCTAAAAGTCTTGAGAGCTACCATTTTGCACTGATTTAAAAAGCCTCAGAATTAGGGGCTGGGCGTGGTGGTTGATGCCTGTAATCCCAGCATTTTGGAATACCGAAATGGGTGAATCACCTGAGGCCTTCCAGACTAGCCTGGCCAACATGGCAAAAACCCCCATCACTACTAAAAATTACAAAAAGTAGCTGGGCATGGTGGTACCCACCTGTAATCCCAGCTTCTTGGGAGGATGGTGAGGCAGAAGAACTGCTTGAACCCGGAAGGTGGAGGTTGCAGTGAGCTGAGATCATACCACTCAGCCTTGGTGACAGAGCAAGACTCCATCTCAAAAAAAAAATAAAAAAAGTTTGGGGGTCAGGCATGTTGGCTCATGCCTGTAATCCCAGCACTTTGGAAGGCCAAGGTGGGCAAATCACCAGAGGTTGGGAGTTGGAGACCAGCCTGACCAACATGGAGAAACCCCATCTCTACTAAAAATACAAAAATTAGCTAGGCGTGATGGCACACACCTGTAATTCCAGTTACTCAGGAGGCTGAGGCAGGAGAATCACTTGAACCTGGGAAGTGGAGGTTGCAGTGAGCTGAGATCGTGCCACTGTACTCCAGCCTGGGCGACAGAGCAAGACTCTGTCACAAAAAAAAAGAAAGAGAGAGGAAGAGAGAGAGGGAAGGAGGGAGGGAAGAAGGAAGGGAGGGAAGGAAGGAGGGAGGGAAGGAGAGAAAACTGAGACACAGAGAGGTTCAGTACCTTGAGAAAGAAAGAACAAAGAAAGAAAGGAAAGAAAGAGAAAGAGAGGCCGGGCGCGGTGGCTCAAGCCTGTAATCCCAGCACTTTGGGAGGCCGAGGCGGGTGGATCACGAGGTCGAGAGATCGAGACCATCCCGGTCAACATGGTGAAACCCCGTCTCTACTAAAAATACAAAAAATTAGCTGGGCATGGTGGCGCGTGCCTGTAATCCCAGCTACTCAGGAGGCTGAGGCAGGAGAATTGCCTGAACCCAGGAGGCTGAGGTTGCGGTGAGCCGAGATCGCGCCATTGCACTCCAACCTGGGTAACAAGAGCGAAACTCCGTCTCAAAAAAAAAAAAAAAAAAAAAAAGAGAAAGAGAGAGAAAGAAAAACGGAGACACAGGGAGGTTCAGTGCCTTGCCCAAGATTGCCCAAGTATTTGTGTACATGACTGAGTCAGGCTGTGACACCAAGGTGAGTAACCTATGTTAGTTACTGGGAATGGGGCGGAAGGGACTTTAAAGGAAGCTGAAGACCATTCTCACCCTGCCCTGGGGGAATCATGGAATGGTGCTGAATAGAAAAGGCAAGTTTAGGCTATATCTTGGTTGCCCCTTCCAGAAATGATGTTGGCCTAAAACCATGGTCATCAAATGTTTTTGCTTATATTTTGCAAGGGTTTTGAAAAACTATGTACCCCCTTGTACATTTTAAAGTCAGCAACTAACATTTTTTATTGTAAGTTTAAAGATCTGTAAGATAGAATTACTGGCTTTTTGTGATTAATATAATAAAACTATGAAAACATCTTTTTTTTTTTTTTTTGAGATGGAGTCTCGATCTGTTGCCCAGGCTGGAAAACGGCATGATCTTGGCTCACTGCAACCTCCACCTCCTGGGATCAAGTAATTCTCCTGCCTCAGCTTCCCAAGTAGCTGAGATTACAGCTGCCTGCCACCATGCCCGGCTAATTTTTGTATTTTTAGTAGAGATGAGGTTTCACCATGCTGGCCAGGCTGGTCTCGAATTCCCAACCTCAGGCAATCCACCTGCCTCAGCCTCCCAACGTACTGGGATTACAGGCATGAGCCACAGAGCCTGGCCAAAAGCACCCTTTTAAAGGAATCTACAGGAATATAAATATAGTAATTTGATATTACCATCATGAACCTATAAAAGTCATGACTACACTCTTGTTTTTAA